ATTTAATTCTATGAGTATTTTTTTAAAATAAAATTTTAAATTATGACATTATTAATTATAATTAACTAATTTAACTACTTTCACTGATGAATTATGTATTTATTTTTTATATATAGGAGCAAATATAGTATTTGGTAAAACTACCATGTAAATTAATTGAAACTTACAAGTTTAAGAGCTGAGAAATTGAAGAATTAAAATTCTTTGATAAGATTAATTAATAAGTTAGTTAGTAACATAAAAAACATATTTAATCATTTAAGGTAAACATAATTTTTAAATAAATTAACGTAGATAAAAAAGCTAAACTAACTTATCTCCATAGACCAGACCAGTCAGAGTAACTAATGAAAATAAGTTGCTAAATAAATATATTTTGATTAAATTAATCTATAAACTAGTCAAATTAACTTTATAAAATTTTTAATGTACTCTTTCTATATGTTATTTGAATACATCATTCATCAATATCAAAGGTATATGTACCTCATCTATTTTGATATAAACTATAAATTAAATAAAAAAATTATATTAATAATATAAATACGTCTTACACCATAAATAATTATATATATATATAATATGGTTGTTGATTTTTATAATAATTTTTTTAATTGATAGCCGACGTAAAAAATTTTACACTCACAGTGCATACCTATTAAAATTTTGCAATAAAAAAATTAAACCTTAAATTATGTGTAGCACCCTTAAAGTTAGGGATGATAACGAGACAGGACAGGTACGGATTTTTCTATATCCATCCTCATTCTAGTTTTCAAATCCTATAACTATCCTCATTCCCATATCTAGAGGGTGTGAAATTTGTGTTCTCACCTATGTACCTGTCATGTATTATATATATCTGTACTTGTCTTCTACCCATTCAAAAATTAATTAAATATTATTTTTTGTAAAAGAATATAAAAAATAATTTTAAAATAAAATAATAATTACAAAATTACATTAATTAAACTTTATTTGACATAAATTAAAAATAGAGTAAGAAATTACATAAATTTTACGTAAATTCTAAAAAAATAAAATAAAATATTTATAAATTTTAAGTAGCTATAGGTACAGGTACGAGACGTATATATATACTCATTCTCGTTCCTGTACTCGATTTAATGAATTGGGTATTATCCATATTTGTACTCATATCTTGTCAAATCATATATTCCCTATCAAAGTCAAGACGAGTTCAGACATTATCCATAGATACATGTTTACTTGTTATCCCGCAAATGTGTAAGAAAGACAAGCATAATCTTTTAATAAAAAGGCCTATGTTTAATTATCTAAAAAAAATTGTAAGTATAATTATTGCTAATAAAGTATTACAGAAATGAAAAGTTTTCGACAAGAAAAAAAAGGATTTATATATTTTTTAATGTAATGTGCAAATAATTTTTCTTCCTAATAAGAATTTTCAATTTTTGTGTCTTTAACATCCCCTGATGGTAAGTTTTAATAATAATTTAAATATTATATATAAATTTGTTAATAACAATGATGCCACCACTTATATTTCAATTTTGTTATCAATTACTAGACGATTGTTGAAAATATATAGTATCATTACTGAACATGAAAGTTTTTGAGAAAAATATACATGATTTTTTTTGGGTGAGTGTGGTGTTCTCGATGGGGAGATTTGATGATGACAGATTGATGTGTTGTTGATATGTCTTAGTTTCTTCAATTTTATGAGTTTCATGTTGTTATAACAATAATACTTGGAGTTACATGCATGTTTTGGGTTTGGGTTGAGAGGATTTGAAGTTGATCTTGAGTTTGCTAGTTTTTCTTAAAATCATACATGTTTTCTGGGTTTGGGTTGCTTAAAGCACCTATGGGGTTGCTCCAAGTGAATCTGAGTGGTTGTTCAAAGATGATTTCTAAATTAGGTTGCTTAAAGCGAGTTATGGTCACTTTGAGTGAGTTTTCAATCGCTCTAAGTGAATTTTGATTGCTCAAAGCGAGCTATTGGTCACTCTAAGCAAGTTAACCTCGCTTAAGTGAAATATTGACTCATTTAAGTGAGTAGATGATTGAATTTACTTATGTGATCTTCATGAAAGTTGTAGCTTTGAATGTTAGCTTTCCAATAACTTTAGAATCACCTAAAAAGGAAGTCTAGAACTCAAGATATAATATTTTTAATGATAAAAGGTCAAGCTGTTAGCATTAGTCATAAATGTTGTGGTTTTTGTGATTTTCAACGTAATAAATGATTGATTAAAAAATTGAGATCTTCATGAGAATTGTAGTTGACATTTTTAGCTTTCTCATGAGGTAAGGATGAACTTGATAAGAGTAGTAGAACTCCCTATGTGTTGTTTTATGCAAAAGTTGTCATTGCATAATAGTTGATTTTGATAAGTTGTATGTTGATACATGTATGATGTTTTAAGTTGTCTTATTGTTGAATGAAGATATATGAACTATATGATGTGTTTCGATATGCCTGAAAGTCCCACATCGCTTAGGAATCGAGGCTGAGGGTAGTTTATAAACACCCTTCCTCCTTAACCCATCGAGACGCCTTTTAAAAAACAAAATTGTGACGGCCCAACGAGTGCTAAAGCAGACAATACCTCGGATGCGGTGATCCTAACGATGACAGTGGACTTACGGTAAGAACATGATGGATGATGACTGATGTTAATTATGTTGTTAAGGTGAAAAATGGTTTATAAGTATGTTGCATATGCTATAAGTTAAATTGTGTAAGTTAGTTGACAAAATGATATGTTAACCATATAGATGGGTATACGTTGATCTTGCTTGTGATGAGGTATATGGTGTAAATTAGCATGCTGATAAAATGTTATAGTTGTTAAAGTTGAAAGTTGTAAGTTGATAAGTGTTGAAAGGTGTATTAAGTTGTGTGATGTAATTTGATTTATTTTAAGATGAGTTATGATGTTGAGTTGTAAGATGAAAGATGTTTAAATTGTAAAGATATAAATTTGTTAAGTTGTAATTTGAAAGATGTAAAGCTATTAAGTTTTAAGTTGAAAGATAATTAAGATGTGAAATTGTACGTTGTTTCTAATTTTATGATAGTCGTTGTTTTTGACTATAGTGTCAGCAGTTGCTTCTAGCTTATGTTAGCTATTGTTTTTAGCTTTATGATGGCCGCTTTTTTTGACCTTAGTGTTAACCACTATTTTTTACCATAGTGTCGATATTTGCTTCTATTTTATGTTAGTCATTGCTTCTAACTTTATGCCAGCCATTGTTTCTAGCCTTGGTGTCAACTGTTATTTATGATTTTATACTAATTGTTGTGATTCAGTAGGGTCTAGCACTTAAACTATTCATCATGTGTTATAAGAAATCTTCATAGATTGATATGTGTAACGACACATCATTTGTTTAAATTGTTTATGTTGTGATTGAAGTTGTTATGTTGAGAATGTCATACCTGTTGTAAGTTGTATTAGTTGTTGAAAGTAGTGATTGTAGTTGATTTAGTTGTCAAGATGTTTAGTTATTTTCAAGTTATTAATAAAATGTTGTTTCAGTTGTTGTTATGTTTAAAGTTGAAACACTAACTTGAAGTTAAGTTGTTATATTGCTTGATGTTTTTTAGTTGACATGTTGTCAAGTTGTATTGTATTGGAAGTTGCCATGTTACGATGTTGTATAAGTATGTTGATCATTTAAAAGTTGTCTTGTCTATATGCTAAGTTGTAAGTTGTTAAGGGGTTAAGTTGTAAATTCCATGTTGTATGTTGTTTTGTGTTGTTAAACTGGGCTCTAGGTTATAGTTATGTCAATCTGTTGATATGTTGATTCTTTTAAAATCTAACTTATCCTTGTGTATTTTTCATGTAGTATGGACTACAATGATCATGATTTTCATGGGAGTAGGACAATGTTAGTTAAAGAGAGGGCTTTTGGAGTTGTAGTGAGACCATTATTGTTGGTGATGTAGTTGATAACTACTTTTGTTAGTTCGTATAGACATTGCTTGACCAACAATTTAGGATTTTATATTATATACTTATTGGGTTACTGTACATATATTTGTATAGTTGTTTTAGTTCTATCTACCTATATATTTGCTATAATGTACATATCCTGATATTGTGAGTATATAATTCTAAATAGTAGTTATAGTTTTGTTGCTTGTAGTTATAATTCGTAAGTGTGATGATTATAACGGATCGTTACATTAGTCCTATCACTAATTTGACATTCGTTGTTCGTTAAATTTTAACATTAACCCATGACATTATCATCACTTAAATAATGTGATATTTAGTGACATAATATTTAAAGTTTTAAAAAATACAAAAATCTTCATTTGTGTTTATTTTAGCATATAATTGATATTTATTTTGTTATTAAACTTCATTTACACACACACATATATATCTATCTATATATATATATATATATATATATATATATATATATTATCTTTAAATATCATGCCACCTAAGTATTAATAGGTCTAGATGTCATTGATTAACATTAAAATTTAATGATTAACAAATGTCAATTTGATGATAAGGACAAAATTATGACAACTAAATGTATCTATTTTAAAATTAAAACCAAAGGATTGAAATTGAAAATTTACAAAATTAGCAAATCAAAAATTTAATTTAACAATAAAATTAATAAAACATATAAAGTAATAATTATAGAAAAATATTAAAGCATATAAATATATTCATTAAAGAACAAATTTTCTCTCTCTATTTTATATTAATTTAAAATTTATATAAAATAAATAATAAACATGGATAAAAACTTGAAAAATATCATAATTTATTTAACAAATATTTTTTAATCGTACAAAATAAGAAATTTTTGGTACCAATTTTAAACTAACCAAAACAAAAAATAAAATAAAATTGAGAACCCAAACTAAATCAACTGAATTAAACACGATCAATTATCTCTAAACTCCATCCAAATCAACTCATCAACACCTTTAACACATTCTAAAGGTAAAAGCAAAATTCTTGGGATCTACACCACTCTTAATCAGCTATTTGCAAGACATCTCTATTTGCCTCAAGCCTAACCTGCCTATTGAATTTCTTAATAAACTCCTCAAATCTCCAATTAAGCTCCTCAATTGTCATACTATTAAAGTCATTCTCTTCATCTACTTTTTCTTCTATCTTCATTAATGTTGCTGACCTCTTCATGTTCATATCATTTCTAGGTGCTCTTTTAGATTTACTTCGGCAGTGACTTATTATGGCAGGGACAGGTTGCTCCGATGGAAGTAATGCCTTTTGCACAGTGGAGAATTCTTCACTAGGTTTCTCTGGTCCATTTTTAACTACGTATTGGGGAACCTCGATAACTAATGGGAGAAGACTTTGTAGTTGTTGTCGTCGTGGTCGTTGGGAAACCTTGATGTTCTCATTGATGATATATGGGTTGACCACCTGTGGCATTTCTTCTCCTATCTCTTGCTTGGGGTTGATATATTTTTTATGAACTTGATAATATGAAGAGGCGTGGTATTGATCATAATAAGGATGTTGTTTCTTTTTGGATGAAGAGAATACTCTATAGTCTAAGGCTATGATAAGGATGAGATTGTTGGACAGAAAATACCAAAAGATGTAGTTGTTTAAGAGAGTGGTTAGGGAGAGGTTGAAGATATAGAAGACAAAGATGTAGATAACAAGAGAGATGATAAAGGCAAAGAAGGAAAAACCCTTCTCTTTTGGGGAATGATCTTTTGGTTTGTAGTATTTGGTAGAATTTTCCCTTAGAGATGGAGGGTCTGCCATGATAGGTCAGTGACACGAATTGTGGTTTCTTTCGCTATTCAAATGATTCTAATGGAAGTATTATATATAAAACAAGCAAACCTATCAAGTAAGAATCTTTTGTTAGTGTAAAAAATAAGAATACTTAATTATAATTATTTAATTAAAATTAATAGTAAAAATTACTTGCTTTTTTCTTCAAATTTAATATATAAAAGATTAACTAATATTTGTAATTTTATATGCAAAATTTAAACCGCTATTTTTAATTTAATATTTTATTTATTTAATAACAATCACAAATTCTCCCACTTAATTAGTATAAAAAAGTATATATGAGTTTACCTTCAAAAAATAAAATATTGTATGAGTTTGATTTAGTGCTATAGCCTAAATGATTGATTATCTACGATTACACGTATAATCTTCCGTCTTTCTCTCGTGCCATTGACAAAAATTTGGGAGGTGGATTGGTAATTAAATCAAGAGACACCATAATTGGAGAATGTCTATTAAAGAGAAAATACTGACAAAAATAAATGATTCAAGATTTTTGTTTTTTCATTGATTGATATTGCTCATGTAAATTGAGTCAGGGTCTTTTAATTTGTATTATACTATACATCTTGTCCTAATTTCTTAATTTACATTCAAATTTACGAGAAAAACGAATAAACTTATAAGCATGTGCAAATCAAGCTGACTTAATGAGTGAATAACAGTGAATTAAAACCTTATTATCATTATCATATAAAACGATATCGATTATATAAGATAAAGAATCTAAAAATGCCTCATAAAAAAAAAATCATGATTTCATTTACATCACAACCTCTTGCACTAAATTTATGGGGATAAACGTCATCCTGAAGTTTAGAAAATATATGTATTGACATCACCCTAGCAAAAAAAGCGTACAGATATATTTAGAGCCTGATTACGTAAAAAATGGATATAAGGAAGTATATGAGTATGTAGTTAGGATTGGTAAGTTCTAAATAACATCTTTAATTTATACCGTTTGATATAAGCGTTAACGATTTAATTAAATTTTTAATTAAATTGTTTAGTTTTTGAATCTTTAAAGATTAGTTACTATTTTTTATAGTGATTATTCTTGTATATTTATCATAGTTACTTAAAAAAAATAAGTAAATTAAAATTTGTAACGTGTAATAATAATAAAAAAAGATCAGTACAGAAAGTCAAAATATCATATACGTCATGATAATTTGCGATTGTTCTAACGTGGCTTAAATGTTCACAAAGTCATGATTCTCAACCTGTGGTAGTCAACAATATTTGATAAAAATAATTTACATAATTAAAGTAAGAGTTAATCGGTTATACATTAATAGTGTAAAATATTTTTATACCGGTAACTAATCATATTTTAATAATATCATGTCAGTTGTTTATTTAATAAAATAATAATAAAATAAAATAATTTTAAAAATATGATTGGTTGCTAGTATAAAGTGTATGGATGATTAACTCATTAAATAATTTCTTTGAGAGCAATCACTTGCCATCATCAATTTAAACCCAATTTTATACAGCAGTCCTCAAAGTTGTTTTTATTAATTACCTTGCTTGTTTCATTGATTACATCTGATCTGGATGGACTTTCATTTTATTGAATGAAATAATATTAAATTTGTATTTATGATTTTTCTTTTCACTAATACGAGCAGATAGAAAGGAATTTTTTTTAAATAGGATGAATAATTAACGTGATGAAAATAATCATCCAAAGGGTTGTGAAAATTTATCGTGGAAAATAATATAACTCGTTTTAATATTAAGACCAAACAAATTCAATTCCTTTATTTATACTTATATACTAATGATAAAAAAAAATACTATAACTCTTAACCACTTTTTCCCCCATTTTTATAAGATCGTGTTAACCTTAAGTATGTAACTACATATAAATATATATAAAAAATTATTTCTCTCTCTCTTTTTTACGCTATTTTTTCTATAACTTTTTCATCGTTATCTCTACTTTCACTCAATATTCATGCAGTAAGCACCTACTCTATTTTTTTTTAATTCATGTTTATTATTTTTGGAAAAATTTAGAGGCACAAAGTTTCATTTTCCCCCTAATACAAATAAAAGTTGTGGGGCGTTCAAACAATTGAACTATGTGTAAAAAAGAAAAATTAACTCACAAAACCTCACAAGTCTAATATTCTGTATTCAATGAGGACTTGTGATGGTGATGGATTTCTATTGTACCTATAAAATCATTTTAGATTGTCAACAAATTAGTTACATCATATCGAGAGTAAGAATTTAGAATTAATAATAAAATTTTAAGCAATATTTTTTTAGTTTTAAAATTAGACGAGTAAAATGAAAATCAGGCCTTACACATCAATCTCATCTAATTAAACTACCAAAACTTAAACAGATACTAATAGAAATGTATTATTTAAGGAATTCTCTTTATGGATACACTCGACAAATAATGTTGAGATTGTTATATTAGATTTTATGGCATTAAAAGCGTTTGCTATACCAAATATTTTTTCATTATTGGGAAACATATTTCTTGAAAATTTTGTTTATTGATAATGTCATAAATATGTTTATTATGTTTAAAATATTTTCGGAAATAAGAAATATAATTATATATATATATATATTTTCCCTGCATGAGAATATTGGATTCTCAGTTTCTCATCTCATCAAAAAGTTTTGGTGGGAAACTTCATTAAAAAATGATTTTTGAGATGTTATTTTTGTTTTTTTTCTTTAATTAATAAGAAAGATTGCAAATATAATAATAATGTTTAAATATAAAACTTTGTGTATATAATTTCCATCATTAAGTTAAAAATGTTAGATTTCTAACTAATAATTTTTATAATTATTGCATGTACATACCAAACAGAGTTTTTATGGCCTTAAATTTAATATACGAAAAGTTTTTGCTCGCAAGGTAGCTTTAATTATGTTTTGTTAATTTTATTTTATGTGTCTTTAATTTTGTGAATTATTAGGCATGTTTGGTATATATTTTTATGTCTAGTGATATTCTTGAGATTATGAATATTTTTAAAAATATTTATAATTATTTGATAATAAAAATAAATTTATTACATTAAACTAACAAATGAAATATACTAGATGAACCTATGGACAATTGAGAATTGGTGTTGTTGGTAGTTTTTGCGTCTTTGGTTACCTATGTCCTTATAGGTGATTAAGGATTTTGAACCACCAACTTAGTAGTGACTAGTACTAGGTTCTCGCCATTGCGACTCACAAAGTTGAACAAATCAATAAAGAGAGGATAATAAAGAATTAGATCTTTTGGCAGTCAAAGATGTCAAAATGTTTGACAGAATGCGTCGTTTGACACTCAGATATTGATATCCCACACAATCAAAAGGTTCTTCTTACTTGATAGATCTCGGCTAACTTGACTTTTATGCAGTTGAGGATGCCAAATGACCATTTAATACATGCAAGGTTAAATAAGAAAATTAAACTTAACTATGGGAAAATAAGAATTCGAGACTTATTACCTAATTAGTAACTACAGACCAAGGTTCATTAGGTTAAGGCCAATTATGGTTAGTATAGTAACACATATCAAGGTAAAAAAATACTTTTCATTTAATACTTGTATTTATTACATCGAGCAAGTATTTTATTTGAACGTCCAAATGTCTTTTGAAAGTACACTCTCAGCATATTTGGAGAACCAACTTGCAAAGTAAAGAGTAGTGAAGGCATTAAAGAAGGAAGCCTACAAATGCCTTCATGCTAGTATAAAAGAAATGTAATATTTTTACTGCAATAAAGCATTTTTTTTCCTGATTTTGAAAAGTTAGATTCTCACTTTTCATGAAAGCAATTTTGTAAGAAACTTATGTAAAAAAACTTTTAAAACAATGTTTCGTAGAATATTTGTGTAAAATTGAAATTTAATCATGAAATAGTTGTGCTCCATATGTTGCCCAAATTTTAGTTTAAAATGAAAATAAAAAAAACTATGATAATCTAGTCATAGTTGTGCAAATTAAAGTCATTGAACCAACTTTTTCTTAGTAATCATGTTATCAATATGTAGTATTTAGTGATTCTGCCAATAACTAATCTCTTAATTGACTAGCTTTAATGGGTCTCCCTTCCTAGTCATATTTTCTCCATATATAAGACTCGAACATGATACCTTGTTTAAGAAGATCGAATTCAGTACCATTCAAATTGACTTGTTGGTGTCAATGAATCAACTTGGAACGAGTGGGTTTCTTAACCCAATATAGATATTAGACACTTCTGTATGGTAGATTGTATAAATACTTACTCAAATGATTAAGAATTTGTTTAGACAGAAGGTAAGAGTGTGTTTGATTACTCATTCACACACATTCGGACATTCCAATGCACTCAAACGAAAAGCATGAGTGTAGATGAATTGAGTTCAACGTATGTTTAGCTATTCTAAACGCTAAAACAAATATGCACTAAAAGTTCTAGAAGAATTATTTTAAGTAAAAAAAACTCTAAAAAACATTTTTAAACTATCCAAATAGACTTTAAGGCTTGATTGTCTTCCTCCTTCTTTAACATACGTTTATTCTACTGTATAAATTCAGTTTGGTAATGTGTTTAGTTTCTCTAAAGTATGTTGGCACATCTATATTTGTCTTGAAATCAAATTTCAATTGAGAGTCCAATCAATTTGCAAAGTTTACAAACTTTAATCCTCACATACATTAAATCTGTGTTTGTAAACTCATTGGAGCACATTCAACACCGATGAATAACAGTGTATTTGGAAAACTATTAATTCCAACACAAACTGACGTTTAGCTCGACAGACACTAAAATATTAACATTAAACATCAGAAGTTATAGATGCAGTCTAGCTAGGTATAGTAAGAAATGCATGATTACAGTTATGTTTTATTTTTTTAATCTTTATTGGTTGAATTATAATCCGGTTCTCCCACAAAAAATGTTAAAAACCCATAAGCGATGCAATCATTTCCACAAAGTCT